CGGCCAGCAGGTGGCGCTGTGGCACTGCCTCAGCGAGATAAACGCCCGTTCTAGAAGCAACTTGCCACATCCCTCCTAAAACAGCCCCTGCGATATGAGCCATCGCCTTGGTGCAAACAAAGCGCGCACACACACACACACACACACACACAACCATAACACCACGCTGACTAGAGCACGGGAAATTCTGTCTTGCCTCCCTCGCGTGGTTTCTGCATGCTCATCTGCCAGGGGAGCGGAAGGAAAAGGGTGGTTGGGGGGAGCTCAAAAATCAACTCAGGGGCTGAGGCACGTGCAGCTCTCTCAAAGGACCATGCAGATACCGTGTGTCCCATCCCTCCACCTCCCTGGCACTGCCTCAGGCCCTTGGAAGTCCCCCTTGTCATGAGGGCCACCATGAGGACTGACCTGAAGGGCTGTGGACTAGCCACAGCCTCGGGGTAGCTCCCCAGATCCCACAACAGCTTCTGAAGGACCCAGAGGTACAGCTTCACCAAGGGCCCAAGCTGCTCACCTTTGTGAGTCTGACGGAGCAAAGGAGGCAGATGGAGAGGTTGAATTAAGATCCAGATACTAAACTGCAATAGTAAAAACCACAAACCAACCACCCAGGAAACCTACACAGACTGGTCTTAAGAGGAGAGTGGTTAGCAAGGCTTAGCAAGAACTTACAAATGCTCCTCTTCTGCACCACACTGAGAAGCATAAAACTGTGTGCTGAGGAACCAGGAACCCCTCCATCCTCCTCACCACACAGGTGTACCCACAGGAGCTGCCCAGGACTGGGGCTGCATCCTTCTCCTACCATGGCTCTGTTTCTGGCACCAAATGTTGCCACGCCCCCAAAGGAGTCTGGTAACAAAGAGGCTGCAGGAAATAGCTTTTGGCTTGGTCTGGAGAAAATTTCTCGCCATCTAGGTGTGACTTCAGAGCAGAATGTTTTTCTGCTGTTTTACCACCCAGAGCCCTGAAGCAGCCCTTTCCTAACAGGGCTGTTACTCCCCGGAGCCTGTCCCTGGGAGCTGCCTGGGGGCTCTTTCCCCAGGTGTGCCTTTCCCTGGTCCACTTCAGAGATGCCTGGCCTTTACCAAGCCAACCCTCCAAGGCAGCTTCTCCACACCCCAGCCTTCTGCCAAACTCAGGGCTACATCAAGGCTACCCCAGGACAGCATCCCCCAGCCCAGTGAAGGTGCACAGTCTTATCATCAGTCCTTTTACAGCAAGGGGATTCAGCTGGCTTTCTTGAATCACCCGTTCGTTACCTGGGAGTAGAATCAGGTTCTGTGAAGTGTTTCTCATTTAAGATAAGATTCCTCTGCTTGAGAGCTTAAGGCTAGAACAGCTAGGCTCCAAGCTCCTGGAGGAGCTCCCAGATTCCCAGATTGCCTGGACCCCTGTAGTGTGGCAACAACGTGGTGTGTTGCTTAATTGTCTGTGGTCCAGAGAAGGTGGCAAATCTCTGGTCTTGGATTTCCCTGATCCAAGGGAAAATTCAAGAAATCCAGCATGTGCTGCCTTGTCCTCCTAGTACCTGCTGGACTGAAAAGCAGGGAATACAGAAGTGCTAATGAGCTCCCAATCAGCCCAAATTCCCAGGGGCATTACTTTCCCAGGATTTGCAAAGCCTTGGGCAAACAGCAGAGAGTGTTTTCAACAATCTCCATTTCATCTGGGTTAACAGACTTTGTTGGTTTCTCCTCAGCTTAACAGTGATGGCCACCCATTCTGAGCTCTGTTCTCGTGGACAGCACTGGCAGAACTGGCAATGCTCTTTCTCCTCCTACCGTTCATTGCTAACCCACCTCCATCATCTGACGTCCACACAGTATCATTGGCCTGCTAACAGCCATCTCCCTGGCTCCAGGGGCAAAGGCATCTAAGCCTCAGACCACTCAGAAGAGTTCCCATTTGCATCCCCTCCTCTGCATTCTGGGTTCATTTGCTTTCTTTTCTCCTTAAGCAGGTTCAGGCTATTTTCAGCTCCAAGTTTTCCAAGAATAAGCATGAAATTGAAAGGTAGTGTTTGGGAATTTTCAGGCAAATACTTCCCACCATTTAATTTACTGAGAAAACAGTCCACTGTGGAAAGCTTTTCTGGTCTTCAGTATCTCTGAGATTTTTAGTGTCTTCTTAGGGCAAGACCATCAGTGGGGGCTTGCCCCACTTCTCATTTGTGACTGAAGCACACGTAAAGAGGGCAGGGGAAGTGGCCAGTTACACCAGGGTGGGAGGGAGCTGCCTGCACTTCAAAGCTCCTGAGGCTGTCCACAGCAGGAAGGGCTGCTCTGTGGTGCTGGGGCGTGAGGCAAGTCCTCGACAAGGAAACAGCGAGGCCAATGGGATGTGAAAGCTGTGAGTGTGTCAAAAGCAGGACGGAAGTGTTGTAGGGGGCAACCCTATTTTTAGCCACTTCTTGCAGAACTTTGCTAGCACTTGCTGGAGTCAGCGGCTGCTTCCCCTTTCCTTGTTGTAAGCAGCACTGACTGGGTTCAGATCTGTTTTTATTTAGCCACTCACACAACAGTATTGACTGAAAGGTCACTCCAGCTCCTTGGACTCAAAAACACCCATGGTTAGAGAGTCCTAGGTAAGAAGAACAGAAAGCATCTGACACTTCCCTGTCTCCATTTCAGGGCTGTGAGAGGTAGAAACTGAAGCTGAGGCTGCAGAGCGTGACTCTTAGTCACATCAACGGGGGATTTTGCAATACAGCCGGTGCAGGGCACAGGGCAGGCAGTATGCAAGCAAAACTGAAGTGCTTTGCAAGGACATTTGATTGGGGTTCTCCAGCTGCAAGGCCAGAGTATCACTGTGCAACCCTCACTTGTTTGATCCACTTCAGCCTGCGCAGCTGCCCAAGGTGTTTGGGACAAGGAAGGGTCTAACACACCTCAAATTAGCATGGGGCATTGTGGACACCAGTAGGTTGCCATGAATGTCCTCTGCGTGGTTCCTTTTAACATTTGTCAGTATTAAATGACTCCTACACCTGCTGTAGGGAAATGCATGGGGAAAGGCCATTCCTGAACCAGACTAGAGAGTTCAGGCAGCAAGGCAGAAGAGCAGCCACTGGGATGGAGTGTGTGAGCTGAGATGTGACTCTCCTGTACAGGCTGTAACCACCAAGACAAGTTCCAGACTGGTTCCAGTTGTCAGGAGTTTGGATCAGTTTGACTTGCAGCATTCACTTCAGAGACAGGTTGGGAAGGATAGCGTCCAGGCCTTGGTAGCCAGAGCTTGCTGCTGGTCTCAGCAGACCTGGTCCCGCTGATTATTGGTGAAGAGGAATGAGATTGCTGTAGGGATGAGAGAAATGCACATTCGGAGCCAAAATAGATATAGTTCTGGGGCATTTCCAGAGCAAACTCCTCCCAAGCCTGGTAGCTGTGAGCAGTAGCAATGGGATGAGCAGGTGAAAGTCATGCTCACTCTGTGGCTATAGAGCTTGATGTGACTAAGAAGGCAACACAGAGCCCTGTCCCATACTCAAGTCTTTGTGCTATAACTCCTTCAAAACCACATATTTAATACCACCCCCAGAAGCCTAAAGCTCCCCAAAGCTCCTCAGATACCTCTGCAAGGCTCTGCTTTGTATCTCATGTTTCATACTGTCCTTCAACCCTATGGTGGACACATTCATTATATAGCCTATTCTTAATCTGGATTGTTTAAGGCAGAATACACAATTCTTGAATGAGAGATGTTGATTCAGGAATGGGAAATTCTTTACAAAGGGGTATTAAGGGTAACAGGTTATTGCCAGTGCCATTGCTGTCCCAGGGAATGTGCTGGAAAGTCACTGTGGCCTCTAGGTGGCAGCGGTATTGCTCATGCACCACAATGCTGAAAAATACAGAAAAGCCTTCCTTTTGAAAACGGAGCATGAAGTGTGAGACAGGCCTCACACTTTGGTAGTTCAGACAAAACATGGGCAGGTAATACTGCATTGAAACAAACTGAATTTGTTTGTTGGGTTGGTTTTTTTTTTCCCTTCTTGTTTAAAATGAGGACAATGGATTTGATCCTCTCTGGACTCCACATTGCCTGTAATGGACCAGGAATTTTTTCCTGGGAATTGACCCTGACATTTGTGAAGTTGCATGGAAATCAAAGTCAAGATGCAGTAGCTCCTTTAGGCCTCACACTTGCACACATTTGGTGTGTGCTTTGCCTGATGTGCCAGCAGCTCTTCTGGGGTGAGAGCCAGCCCCTCCTCAGTGCTCAGAAGGGTCAAAGGCTTTGCTGCTATACTTGACTTTCAGGGATACAGGGCTGTAAACTCCAACAGAACCTAAGCCCTACTTTGCCAAAGCTATTTGTACAGTCAATTGCTTTATTGTTTTGATAAAAAAAATGCAGCCAGGCATTTAATGACTCCCATCCACAGCCACTCTGTGTTATAGACTTTCCAATTTAAGCTTTGAATGCTTCGCTTCTTTTTTAAACATGGGGATAGAAAGGGAGAGTTAATATCCCCAATGTTGATAGATGTATCTCCATGCTCTTTCTATTTTAAATGAGATAAACTAGCCTTTTAAGGGAGAAGAGTCATAACTATTTATTTGTGGGAATGGAGATGCTGGCAGTGGGAATCATGGGAATCTATCAAAGCTGGCTATTAGCAGAAAGTGTTAATAGATTGTCTTTCTAACTGACTTAAAAGTTACTTAGTTGACCCCATTTCTGTATTTCCTGAGAACTCAGTCATTATTTCTTCCATCCTTGCAACACATGGAGAGCTAAGTAAGTGCCATAGTCTAAGAGGGAACTCAGGCTGTCTACCAGACTTTAAAGTTGTTTGGTATCTAAGGATGGGAATAGTTACATGTCCAGCCTGCACTGAAATCAAAAGGTGGCAGGAGGAATGCCCTTTTGTAATCCAATTAGGCACTCTGCCGGCATCTTAAAAGTGCCTCGATACTTGTAATTCTCCTCCCTAGACGACTTGTGGGAAGTGTGCGCCACAACCCAGCATTAACAAAGTGCACACATAAGGCAGATGACATCCACAGGGTACAGAAATGTGATATTTTTTTTAATTGATATTTGGGGAAATGACAATAAGATAGGAAGAACATTCCCTCACTCTGTAATTCTGTTATGCCAGTGCCCAGTACGAGTGGTGAGCCTTCAAGTGGAGCAGAGCTGAGCTGGTTGTTGCTCAGGGCCAGCAAAGCTGCGGGCTGGGAAACGCACTTCTCATGTTATGGGCAGTTGTCAGATCATGGTCTTCTCAGAGGTGGGTTATAGTCTTCCCAGTGCCAGGAAGGAGCAGAAAGAATAAATATATGAGAAAAAGGGGAAACAACCTTAAACATATAGGGGTTTAGGTTGTGGGTTTGTTTTTGTTTTCCCCCACTTTAATAAAGCTGAAGAAAATTTGCAATGAATTTATGGGCTGATTTAAATCCTACTAAGGCTCATGGAAATCCCTTTAGTGAATTCTGGGCCAGGTCCAGGAAAAGCAGGTTATTATTCCCTTTACTTTTATTCATCCATAACTGTGCCCTTCTGCATTCAATCTTGTTGTTTATATCTTGCCAGTAGATTTAATGTGAACCTCATCAGCTGTGGACCTGAATAAGACACTGGGATAAGCTGTCTCTTAACTCTGAGCCAGTCTTCCCAGAACAGTGGTGGTAAAGGAGGATGCCCCTGACACACCAGGTAGCTGTAGCCTTGACCAGAGCATCCCGGTAGGATCCCCTGTAGTAAGACCCTGCTAATAGGTATGTGAGTTCTGTCTTGCAGTAAAGTGCTCTGCCAGATGGGTGAATTTAGCACACCAAAATCAGAACAGCTCAGTAAAATGGTTTCTGCATGAACAGCTCAATGAAAATATCTGTTTGGTTGTGGTAAAAAATGCAAATTAAAACCCCTTTGGGATAGACAGAGAATGGACCAGAAAATGGCCTTCTGTTGCCAGGACCAGAACAAAGCCAGGCACCTGGAAGCAATCTCTCTCACAACCTGGGAGACTGGAGATGAGAGGAAAAAGGTTTCAGTCCTGGCTCTGCCAAAGAGTTTCTGGGTGCTTTTTTTAATGTTCTGTTCCTAAATCTGTGCATCTGCCACAGAAGAAGTCCATGAGAAAATTCGGCTCTTGTTTCAGCTCCCTAGGGACAGGGGAATGCTTTTGGGGAATTTTGCACTTGCATCACTCTACATCTGTGCTATCTTCAGTAAAAGTTTTTGGGTTTGCAAAGCCAAGAGTACTTGTGCTGCTGGTAAGGGCATAGTTTCTACATGGACCAGGCTATTCTCTGCTGTTTGCAGAGCAGGACTGTGGTGTGATCTGACTGAGATCAGGCTTGAAGCTAAGCCTGAACCCTGAGTTACCTATAAATAATCTATCAGTACTTGGGAATTCACATTGAAGGTTATACCTAAAATACATCCACCCATATTAAAAGCTTGGAAATATGATTTTGGGATAACTTGCTAGCCTTCCTTTCTTTCCCTGTCCTGCCTCTCTGCCCTGCAACTACAACTAGGATATCACAGGGTGTGTGGGCTCGGCCTAGACTGAATACATCCGTGGGGACCTAGTTTGGGGTTTGAGCCACAGGGTACTTACAGCTGTTCCTGGCCAGGTGGAATTACCACTCACACATACCACCAGCTGGTGGTTGTTCTGTGATGTTGGTGTGCTGTACAATGTGTAGAGTGGGGGCTTGTGATGCGTGAACACAGAGTTCCCATTGAGGCACAAGGAAAGGAAGGTTGTGGTGTGCCCCCAGAAAAGGAAAGAGAAGTTGCACCTTCAGTCCTCTTGTGATATGAACAAAACCACCTCTCAGGTCCCAAGAAACTGAAAGCTGCTCCAGATCCACCCTTACGTGAGAGAAAAACACACCCCATGCCTCTGCCTACATGTGGCTGCAGGTTCCTTGCCGCAGTCTAAGCCAGCCCTGCCTGATGATGCGGCCCTTGGGTGGTGTGACACCATGCTTCTGGAAACAGTGCTGTCTGGGCCAGTGCTGGAGTGAGCTTCCTCAGCTTCCTTTTCTGCTGTGTATTCCCCCTGTGAAACAGCCTCCAGCCGTCTGGAAATTCAGCGTGGCTCTTCATCTGTTAAAACAGTTTTATATTTCTAATGGTTACACAGCTCTGTTGTAAGCTTCCCAATACCTGCCTCAAGCAGATCATCTGGGTTATTCCTCCCATGCTAATCTCTGTGATCTGTGGCATGCATACAACATCGACATGAACGGGACCTCCCCTCTGCTGAACTGTATTTGCCAGAACAGGCATAACTCAAGATAACTGGATTTGAAACAATCAGAGCAGGAAGCAGCAATAACTGGCCTGGAGGGAAGGCAGGGAGTTGCCCATAGACAGTTTTTTAGGAGGATGCCCAGTTGGTGATATCTGATCTCTCTCCACGCTCCTTTAGCCTCACATACAAAGGCTTGTAGGATCATCCCTCACCTCCCTGGCGTGAGTGCTTGAGTTTAGATCTGCACCATCGTCTTTTTAGTTGCAGTGTTTTGTGTGTGGTGACACATATATTGACCTACGTGTGCACATGATGAAGACCCCCAGAGCTGCACCTGGTGCTGACACCAGTGTCATTGCCACTGATGCTACTTTGTGAGGATGGATAAGGTGGTGGATGTTCATGTTATTTTTTCTTCTGGAGCACATGGACCCCAAGGCTGGCTCTGGCACAGCTGATGCTTCCCATGACCTGTACCCCCCAGTCTGTATACAGTGAACACTGCATCCGGCTGCCCAGTCAGGACTCTGTGTTGTGGGGGTCAGGACAGGCTGAGGCAGGCCTGCAAGCACCCTTGCTGACAAGCTGATGGCTTAGTCACCAGGGCTCTCCGCAGAGCCATGTAAACACTACCCACAGTTCCCTGCCTCAGCCCTTGCCACCGGGCTCTGCTAGAGCCCTGTCCTTGTGCTCCCTGTGCCAAGGGTCACGAGCTGGGACCAGCAGCTGGGTGCCAAATGCAGGCTGTAGCTTTGTGCAGCTGGTCTGCTAGAGGTCGTCACACGCCTCCTTAAGCAAACAGGGATCCATGCCAGTTGATAAATCATTTACGAGGAGAAGTCAGAAGCAAAGAACTAGATTAACCAGGTCACTGGGTGTCCTGAGAGAATGACGTGTCAGTGGAGCTGAAACAGCAGATCCCACAGTTGCAATCTCTTGCCTTCTTCTGTCCTGACAGCAATTCATGGAAATCCCTGGAACTAGACACCAGAGATGGAAAAACCCATTAGCTCATCCCAGTCAGCTCACTAGTTAAATCAGTCACTCCCATTGTACATTTTCTGGCAGAGTTAAAAATGTCTCAGGAGAGGGGATTTCCACCAGTTTCTCCTCAGGGGGAAACTATTCCACCTATCAGGAAGGCTGCCTGGAGCGGTGCTATTTTTGCAAAGACAGAAGTAACTCCAGAACCTGAAAGAAAACCAAAAATGATTCTGTTGCAGGAACTGGGGCAGTGATGTTTTTCTGCCTGAACAGATATTTGCCATGCAGGGCACAGCTCCAAATGGAAACTCCGTGTGGACATGTGTGTTTACACACAGCCACGGAGGTGTGCTCACGTGTGCATATATACACCTGTGTCCTCTCCTTCCCAAGGGTGGGATGACCTTGTGTCTTCAGCACAACCAGTGTGTTGTACTGTGAGCTCACGCCTAGCTTGCACTTGTGTAACTCCACCAACATCAAGGCAAAGCACCCTGCTGTGAGGTGGGAAGACACACATGGAAGACAGGATGAATCAGCTGGTGGTGTTGCTCCAGCACCCACTTCCCCTATCAGCAGGGAGAAGTCACTTCTTGCTGGGCCAACTCATGTCTCCTTGGCTGTGCTGGGGGCAGAACTGTGACACCACCACTGCAGGGGGCTCTGTGGCTGAGCACATTGATGGTTGAAAGCACCTGGGGCCTGCAACAAGTAGGCAAGATGATGCAATACAGAGTTGCTCTCTGAGGTTGTCAGCAGAGGCTATGGAGATCTTGGCAGCTAAGCTTTTCAGCACCTGGGAAGAACTTTGGGACAGCTGGGAAATAAATTAGCTGTGTGATGGCATTTAAAACCTTATTATTTGTTTCAGAGTTAATTCTGCATTTAGATGAATGGGTGTACCACACATCACCGCGCTGGAACCTGTAGAGATAGCAAGGATTGTTCCCTGTTCCAATTCAGAGAGCTTTCAGCCAGCAAAATAGCAACTTGCAGTGTTGGTGGCTTAGGTCTGGGAGCAGAGATCTGTGGCTAGGGTAGGCACGGTGGCAATGCCAGCAGCAAACAAGCCCCCAGGACTCTAATTACTAGTGCCACAGGTGTTGGCTATACACCTCTTACGAGAAGAAGGCGGGGTGTTTCCTGGGCATCTGCCCTGAATTTGTGACTCCTCCACTAGCTGTTTTATTTGTCTCTCACAAGCTGGCACAGTCTTTCCCTCTGGGTACTCCTGAAATTGAGGCACTGTGTTTTGCACTGTTCTAAGGATTTGACTTTCACTTCCCAGCCACGGATGCCAAGGCTGCCTTCACAAGCACCCTGTGCACCTCTGTGTTGCTGCAGGACAGCTGATGAAGCCTGATGAACTTATCTAGCTTCAGCCTGGGCTTTCTTAACTGCAGGGTTTTTACTTTGTTCTGTTTATCACAAAACACACTGAAGCATGCATAAGGGCTATAAAAGAATGACATGACTGTGGAAAAGGATCTAACCAAGGAGGCACAGGTCAAATTCTGGGCCTTGACTGGGTCCCTTTAGCTGCTGTCAGGTACTGGCCAGTTGACCTACTGAGCCCATTGCCCCTTGCACTGTGGAAGGATAAGAGGAGGTAGAGCCCAGTAACATTTTAACTATGAGATTAACTCTCTGCCAGTTGAACAACAGGGGCTCTTCTGTTTGTGTGGATGAAAGGTGCTGACTCAAGGCTCTTCCACACAGCAGCCTGTGCTCTCCTGCCACCCGTCACAGCACTGGCCACCCTGCCTTCCTCCACATCCTGAAAACTCCGGTTCAACCCTCAGTAAGGAAAGGAAACCTCAACTCCAGAGACAATTGTCCAGAAAGGTGTCATGACTCTTTACAAGCCAGCACTGTTTGGCTGGCACTTAGTCCCCTAAGGAAGGCCAGAGGAAGAAGAGCAAACCATCCTCCTTCTAGATGCTCAAGAGATTCTTCTGCCTCTCCATTTCCCTACAACTGTAGAGTCCCAGAACACCCCAAAACCACTCACCATGGTAGAAGAGATGTAGGGAGGCCTTTGAACAGTCCAGGTACTCAAATACATTCCCTTCCCACTCCCAAGTTCTTCTGAGACCCTAATCTCTGACACCTTGAAATTAGTGGGTGTTTTGCTGTTTCTCTCACGAGGTGCAGAAACAGCTCCTGAGAGATGGGTCCGAAGCTCACAAAAATCAAGGAGAATCTCTCTGCAAACTTCATTGTGGTGGTGGAAACAAGTTTTGCATGTGGCAAGGCAAAAAGCAACACCAGCTTAATTGGAAGGACATTTTACAAAGGTGATATTTAACAGAAGGAAAGCGATTTATTTGAAAATAAAAGTTAAGATTCATACAGGGAAATCTAACCTCCCCTCTTGTAACGTGAGGCTGGTTATGGCAGCATCCTGCAGGGCCTGAGCAGCAGACAGACAGAACCATCTCAAAAAGTGGAACTGACTAATCTGAGTCATCTGGGATGAGTTGGACATGAGTGAAATCATGCCCCATGTAAACAGTGTGAAAAGCAAACAAAGATGATAAGGAGTGGGGTATTTTTTATTGGTTTTGTTCTTGATTCCGTCTGAGAGAAGATCTTAAATAGCAAAACAGAGCAAACAGTGGCAACATGTAGCCCTGGATGTTCAGCTGTGATGAGACAACTGAAGGCTCAATTTCCTGAGTGCTTGTATTGAACCACCTTCAGGAGGAGGCTTAGTTTCCAGTAAGTTCTCAGCACTAAACACAACCAGCCTCACTGAAGAACTGGGACCATGATCTTTATCTACTGACCATATACTTTGAGAGTGATTTCCACTGGAGAGGCAAACATTTTCCTTCCACTGCCTCACAGAGCCATCTTGCCTACTTCAGCTGTTTGCACCAGGACTGCATAGGGCAGAAATTAACCCGGGTTCCAACAAAGAAGGTGGGGAGCCCCTGCCCAACATACCGATCATTTGCAGATCTTTGCAGTGTGGTGGGATCAACCAACACCTTGGTTTAGGGTGTGTGTGTATTTGATGTGGTCGGCGAACACATGGTCGCTGATTTCTAACTGCCTACCTCTGTTCTGTGTGTGTCCTTGCATTAGTTTCAGGCATAATCACATCATGATATCATAATAATATATCGCACTGTGATGACACCATTGCATGGAGTAGGCCACAGCAGTCTGATCTCATTCTGCAAACGTAAAGATGAGCATTACTGCTTCACAGGACAAGTGGGTGGCAGGTAGATGGAGCTGACACTACCTATATTGTCAGCCCTGGGTGGGAACGTGACCTGCTGGGTTAAATTAGGTAGCTAGGAGCTTAACACCTCAGCTCTAGATCTGCCTCAGCGGCTGTGGGTGAGTCACCAAACCTATCTGCATTCACTTCTTCTATCTGTGAAATGGTGACAATAATATTTCCTCACCTGATGGGGGGAGGGAAGGGAGTGTGTGTGCAAGAATGAATAAATGTTTACAAAGCACCTTGTGAGCAGTGTGCAGGCCAGCTCTGGCTGTGCTTAGGAGGAACCCGCGTTGTTCCCTCTGCTCTGGGTTGCACCATACTGTAAGCACGTCATGAGCTGTAAACACTCCCCTCAGAGTCAACAGTTTCAAATAAGAGCAAATGAGATTATTCCTCAGGAGAGAAACAGAGAGTGAAGACTTAATACATTACCAGTAATTTCAATAAATTCCATTCAAGGCAAAGCAAAGTAACTTTTTAAAATGAAAGAAAGAATAAAGTAGAAAAACAAATAAGCTGTGACCAGTATTTTTTTTTAATGGTACTGTGACCTTAGGTTTCACTTCCCAAATGGGAAGCAGAACAGAGAAGTGAATCTCCTTGAAATAAAAGTGAAGTGAATAATGGGACGCCTTTAGCTGCTTGCCACATCCTGTGTATGCTGATTGTTCTGTTTATAGCTGGCAGGAGCCCTTCTAGAGTCTTCTTCACCCACACTGGCTCTTTGCTGAGCCAAACTGTACTGTATGAGCAGTCAGGAAAATCTTTCCTGCATCTCCCCTCCAGCACCACAGTGCCACGTGTGCTGTCCTGTACTGATGCTCACCTCCCCTCCCTTGTGCAGGGGTGCTTGTGTGCACACCAGTGCTCCTCGGCCCTCCTGCCAGCACAGACCCACACTCCCCATGGCTGGCATAAGTGAGCACTCGCGCAGCCGTACCTGCCCTTGTGTAACCTGCACCTGTCCCAGCACACACCACTTCTGCTGTAGCCTGGGATGCTCACATGCAGCCAGGATGGCCACTCAGGATCTTTGTTCACATATTCACTAGCACTTGTTCTCATGCACATATACAATTCCTTAAGTGAGCACAAACTCATACACACACGCAAACATGCACGATCTCCCTAGCCTAATACATGCACTCACCAATGCGCGCATCCACACAAACACCTGTTTTTGCTTTTTCTGGTATCAAAGAGATATGGAAAAGCATGCACTTCATACATGCAAACTGGTCATAACCATTGACAGCTCAGCTATGATGTAGAGTTACATCCCTTCCATAGCAATGTTATTGCAACAGTCTTTCCTCCTGCGAAGAGCTGTGTGGCTGGGGGTTCAACTGCTTCAGGAAACATGGTTTAGATTCATTCATTCACCAGCACAGCTATTTTTATTGGCCTGGTTTAGCCTGGGCACAGCTTTTGGTGCATTACTGGCTTTTGCTGCTGCTGGTTTTAATTCTCTTTATACTGCTGGAGGTGACCGTGGGACCCTCCCTTCACCAGCAGACTTGTTCAACAGTTTCACCGGAAGAGCCTTTGCCATTCACCTCCTGCTCCCAGTTGGTCTTCACCAGTTCACTGGCACTTAGAAATTCTGGTTTGTGTTTTCGAATAGCTGTATTTTTAACACTGTCATATCTACCACAGTCTGAAGGTGTGGGGTTTTGATCCATTAACAAAGATGACTGGTCATCTTTGAGCCATGCATCTTGAACACCTGGTGGGTCAACCAACTGCAGACATCAGTAACATCTAAACCTGTACATCTGTGGCAGTTCTCCCTCTCTTGTTTCTCTGCAAAGCTTTCTGTATGCAGGAAAAGTTGGAAACTCGGAAAGCAGCCTTCTGCTCTCAGCCTGACTGCCTTTCCGCATGGAGGGCTTGGATGCCGTTACTCTGTGTCACCTCTCAGCCTCTGGTCCCCAAACTCCAGTCTCAGAACCCACGTGGTTCTTTACTGACTTCATAAAAATAAACAAAGGCCTGGTAGCATTTAGGTCATAGTAGTAGATTATTTACACACACACCCCCACCCCCCCAGCTTCTTACTGCACAGGTCTTAGTGTCACCACACCCTGCCAGGGACCGCATTCGTCCCCACCATGTGGTCCCCGCTCCATGACAGCCAGACACTGATGCCGAGCAGGCTTTCAGTGCACAAGCTGAGCTTCGCCAGCTGCTGCCCAACACTGGATGCTGCCCCCAAGGAGGTTGCACCCAACCTCTGCAAAAGGGGGTCTCAGCAATCCAGCCAGAGCAGGTACACTGCTACGGGTGGCTTGGCACGCAGAGCTGAGTTCAGGCCAGGTAGGAGCTTATCAGCAGATCACGTCCAGCAGGGAACAGTACTGCGAGGTAGACCATTGGCAAAGCACAAACTTCCCTTGCAACTATTTTTAAAAGCACCTTTATGTCTTTCTTTTCAACTAGCACAGCACAAATAAACCAAAAGCATTGGGGTGGTTGTTACTTAAGGGAACGATTGTTTTGTAGCCCTCTGCTTCCCTGGTGCAAATGAAATAGTATTGTACTCCTTAACCTCCCCTCATGAAAAAGAGTCCCCCACCCAGCTCTGCCTTTGATGCTGTTTCTGTTCTTCCATGCTGCCTTTGGTGGGCTTTTGATCTTGACTCAGCATGGTTCATCTTACAGTGTTTCTTTAGGTCCTTCTTCAAAGTGGGCAAGCAGACATGGAGTGTGATGTGTGTGACCAGGTTATAGGATGACATATTTTTCATGTTGATCCTCAGTGCAGATCTTTCACATGCAATGCTTCAATTGTTATTGCCTTGCCCACCACTGACCCCTACAAGCCAACTTCTAATTCAGAGCAAGAGGTTTGCCCTATTTTGTCTGAAATAGCTTGCTTTGGCGAGCACTGAACTTTCTCCGTCATTCTGGTTTGGTTTCTGAGTTTAGTTAGAAGCTTCTGGAGTTCCTCCCAGCCCTGCTGAGCCTTGCTTGCAGTTAAAATATATGGTTCTGTCTTGGCAGCAAATGCTGGTGCCTTGTTATCCTTTCTCCATTTCTGTTTTTTGAAACAATGTTCAGAGGGCCACTTTCGTCTCCTCCAAGCGTGGCCCCACTGCCCCTCTCCCACCTCATTCAGCTTTTCTTCCCCTTCTAGAACAGTGGCCATTTACTTTTAATGGATTTTTCCCCCTTCTATCAGTTCTGACTTAATTTTTAATCCATGATGGTACTTTTTATCTGATGGCTGCCAAGTTTGTTTCATTCTTGAAAGGGGCTTTATCAAAAGACCATTTGTAAGCGTGCATTTACTATAGTCCCTACTAGTTCCTGATCAGATTTTTGGAAGCTCACAGAAGTCAGCTGACTAGTGGGGCATGATTTAATGTTGCAAAAAGGCACTCCAACAGTGCTCAGTACTCCATCAGTGCTTCCTGCACTGAGTGCTGGTCCATCAGTTCATGGCCCCCCATTTTCCTAGAAGACTTGTGCTGTGCCCAGTCAGCCTTTTTGGCAAATGCAGCTGCTCCCTGAAGTGGAGTTGCAGGGAGGACACTGGGGCTCTTGCCCTTTGCATTGTGGGGAGCAGCAGCAGGGCTGGTGATGGAGATGAGGGATGCTGACTGTGGCTGTTCCACAATGCATTGTGTTTTCTAATTCAAACTGTTGGTCCAGGTGTCACACAGAGCAAAGCCCTGGTACTGGCAGCTGTGCTGGGTGTTGAGGAAGCTGCACTGGGCACCATCATCCATCCCTGTGTTTGGGGGCAGAGGCCAGCAGGAAACACCTCAGACTGGTGTGGGGCTGCCCAGGCCTTCCTGGGGAAAGCAAAGTGCTGCAGTTGAAATGCCAGTTCCCCATGGACTAGCTGCACTGGAAAGACGTCCAAAAGCCCCTGGAGAAGCCCCCATGGTCCTCTCTCACCACCAGCTAAGCCTGGCTCTTCTCCTTTGTCCTGAGTCCTGGTGGCACTCCTTTGCCATGTTGGTTGGCATCGCTGCACAACACCACTGATGTCTTCCCAGGACAGGGACACCCCAGTTTAAGTCCCCCATGGGCAAGTATGAGCATCAAGCATCAGGCCAGGGAGCTGATGGGCACCTCCAGGACATCCTGTCCTCTGGCTTTTGTTGCTTTCCCCTGAGATAACACTGGAATAATGTGTGTAAAGAGACGCATCCAGAAGCAGGACATGGAGCAGGAGGCTCAGAAGTGGAGAGGCTGGGGCACCCCCAAGACCAAGGCAGCCAGTGGGGCTGGTGCAATGCCTGAGCTAAGTGCCAGGTCCCACACATTTGGATCCAGATCTCAGATTGCCAGTAGTTTAGCTTCCCAGTCTATTTGTGAAATGCTTCAAAGGGTACTGAGTGTCTGCAAAGTGTGGTGGGAGCAACAGTGCCTGTTGAAGCTGGCAGAGAGGCTCCTGTGCTGCTGGGGCAGGCTGCAGTGGGAATTTTACTGCTGATTCCCAGAGGGGCAGAGCTAGGCAAGTGCACAAAGTCTTCCCAATCCAAGTTCAAATGTATGAATTTACTATATCTAACGCCTCCCTGAAATCCAAACATACTCGATTACATTCTCTCTCCGTAATGAATCAGTAATTATATTGAAGAACACTATTATTTGTTTGGCATGACCTATATAAACCCAACTTCGGGAGTGCATATTTGGTGCGGTGCCAGTGCTCTGTGCCCTGCGTATTATTGCCTTATAAACATAACCATTGTTTGAATTTCATAGCAAAACAAAATGAGCCACATTGCTTGTCAGTTATTAGATATCTTTTTCCCAAATGCTCACCCAGACCATATTACAATAACAATAATTATTATTACATACTTCCTTATTATATGTTTGTGCCGAGGTAGCACATTTGCCTTTTTCCCACACGTTAGTAGCTTCTTCTGACTCTTATGATTCACTCCTGCTTGTTTCCCAATGTCCATGAGCTCTTTCTGTGTTCCTGGCTGCATTTCACCAAGACCTGTGGATTGGTGTAGGCACCCACAGTGCTGTACTGCACCAGTCCGCAAAGGGTTGCAACTGGCACAGGGGCTTCGCTCCTCGAGGGAACATACAAACACAAGAAAGACATGGACCCTGCCCCAGGTGCTTTATAAATATTTAACCTAGTCTGATAATGTGATAAGGACTGATAATGTGATTTGGACAGACTAAAACCCAGCCTTGCTTGGGGAGGCCTGGAAGCAGACCCTCTGAGAGAAACTGGGGGGGACAGGCCCCAAGTTAAGGCATGGTAGTGCTGCTGCCACAGCCACTGCCACAGCTGGGGGTAGGACTCACCTTTGTAACTTAGGACATGTAAAGTTTAGTTGTCAAATTCTCAAGTTGTTGATCTACATTTACAGTCACAGAAGAGAAGCTGTGCTTGGCTGCAGAGTGAGTCAGCCCTTCTCAAGATAAATGTGCAAGATAGGTGAGATGAATCACACACTGGAGGTGCCTATTTGTCTCCATTGACTATGCAAGAAGCCTGTCCAACTAAATAGGTTTAGACACCTAACTTTTAGGCACCTAAAATCAGGTGAGAGGAATCCCATCCTCATTGTTCTTCATTCTTCATTAGCACCCTGACAAAGGAGGCAGTGGAAGAGGCTTCCTGGAAATGCCCTCCCAGATTTGGACCTGGCCAAACCCCTCCATCCTCTGTGCATGGGAATCTGCAAAGCCTCGCCTCTGTTCCTCCCCACGCAACTCCTACGGGCATGGGGCGCTCCAGCCATGCCCAGCTGGCAGAGATGAAAGCGTGCTCCCTGCTGTGGTCTGAATGAGACAACGGTCTTGTGGGAAAAGATATAATAGTGGAACTGAAGTTGAACTGAAGTCTGTATCATAATGTATTCAGAGCAGGCGAGAGGGCAGGGGGGCAAAAAAATAAAGAAAAGAAGACTTGACCTTGGCTTCTTGCCTGGTGCTAAAAGTATGTTTTGATGGAATGGCATAGGCGGGAAAGCAAGCTGTCTCCCCAATGCAAATATCTCATGGAGATGTAAGATGTGTGGAGTGCAACCCGTGTGTTTGGAAATGGTATTTTACAGAGGGTTATAGCCAGGCCTGTCAGAGGTGAGCTGCCACTAGCACAGCAAGCAGCACCTTCTCACACCAGCACTGCCTCTTGTGTCAGACAAATGGCAAGACCTGAGAGGCTCCCAAGTAGTTTTAGATGTTCTCTTGAAAAGAAAAAGAAAAACAAAAAGAAAAAGAAAAAGAAAAGAGAAAAGAAAAAAGGAAAAAGAAAAAAAAAAGAGAAAAAAGAAAAACAAAAAGAAAAAAGAAAAGGAAAAGAAAAAAGAAAAAAGAGAGGAGAAAAGAAAAAAAAAGAAAAAAGAAAAGAAAAGAAAAGAAAAGAAAAGAAAAGAAAAGAAAAGAAAAGAAGAAAAGAAAAGAAAAGAAAAGAAAAGAAAAGAAAAGAAAAGAAAAGAAAAGAAAAGAAAAGAAAAGAAAAGAAAAGAAAAGAAAAGAAAAGAAGAAAAAAGAAAAGAAAAGGTGAAAGCATTTTAGTTGTAGCACATTCTTTCAGAGCTAAAAATCATGGAAACATTCCACTGGTTGACGTCTGAAGCAGTCAGTGAATCAGCAGCCAGGGCTGCTCTGGCTGGAAACATGCAGAGGCCAACAGAAATCACTGCTGCATTATCACACTCCTGTGTACAGGCCTGGGAGCATGGAAGTAAGATTTGAAAAAAAATGTGTTTGTGCTGAGATCTGTTCCTTGCCATGTCCACAGTCACTTCTGTTGGCATGCACTAACCCCCTATCGATGCAAGGTCATTTGCTGTTTTGATGTGCAGCTTGCTTGTTTTTTTTTCTGGAAACTGCCAATAGTCTCTTTAAAGCTTTCCTTTAACTGAATGATAATTTATTTAGGTGAGAGATAGCCCTGGCAGGCACAGAGCCCTGTGCAGACCAGGCCAGGTTAAAGGTACCTATATGAAGCTCTACTCTTGCTGTACACCATCATCAGCCCCTGAGTTTGGGCCCAGCAGGAATGCTGGGGACCTTGGGACCACCGTGTATCTGGCTGTGATCTGGAGAAAGAGGGTGCCAGCACCCAGCTATTCAGGCTGTCCCATTCGGGTGAGCTTCCTGCGGAGAGAAGGACAGGGTACTGCTCTGGAGACCCACAGCGGGATGGCACACTGGTCTCCCTAGCAGCTGCTTCATGGCTCTCCTCTGCCAGTGGTGCACAGCCTCTTGCTCCATCCCTCACCTTGCTGTAGCTGGGCTGGGGTGCTTTCTTGGCTCCCACTGCTACACCAGCAGGATGGAAATCCCTCCTCCAGCTTCATGCAGTTGTGGTGCACTCAGGGGGGAGAGATCAGACAAGATTTGCTCCTTGCCCTAAAGGGTTTGCAACTTCACTGCAAACAGGCAAACCCTGGTAAGAAGAGTGAGGTTTCTCTGCAAGAGGTGGTGAGCAGCAGGGAGCTCTATGGTGTTGCAGGAGGGGGCTGCTGGGCTTTCCACAACCATGCAGCAGCCAGTCCTGGTGATGCTCTTTTCCTCCAGCCCCTTGAACCTATTATTTTCTGCACTGGCTTGTGTCTAAGCTCAGCTCTCACCCCAACACAGGCTGCACATGTCTGGGTGCAGGTGGATGGACCCTGGGATGTGGCTGGGCCAGCTGCCTGACAAACACTAAACACTAGCATAGGCTTGCTGTCCTGTTGTGTGGAAATAGATTGATTGCATTAGTATTTCCACTGGAAATTATAACTTGGATCCATTAAGCTCAGCCAAATTCCTTATCCTGTGTCTGCTGAAAGGATACCTCTGCTTTTTCCACTGCAGTATCCTGTCTGTGCCACCAGTGCCAAATTTGTGGCAGGCCACTCACATCCATGTGACATTTTCAGAAGAGGCCACATACTACCCATTCCTCCTGTCTCCTTTTCCCCTCAGTTTCCCCAGAGGTATCTCCACATCTAAGAAACAGAAAATCCTCTTTATGAACAACCACATCATATCCCAAACCCCATTACTAATTAGTAACGATGTCCCATAATTCAGATCACCTTGAATGGTCTTTAGATCGTTCACAGGTGCAAAGTCAGGAGGATTAAGGGCTTATAATATTTGTCTGGCAGTGTAACTACCAATTCCAGCAAAAATAATGGAGCTAGCTTCTTGGGTTTCCTGCCACCACAAAGTACACACATGCACACACTCTCTATTTTATGAATGTTTACATACCCGCGCTGCCAGGAATCTTACTCCCGTTGCTTCCCACCACCTTACACACTTTCCTGTATCTCTGCGAGTCTGTTTCCTAACGAAGCAGCCGGTAATATCCCTTTCGCTGGGGAGCAGGCGGAGGCCGGGCTTCCTCCGGTGCCAGAAAAGCCTGGCAGAGGGCGCACCTACAAGCTGTGGTTTCCATCCCGAGCCATTCACACCTCCCAGTGGCTACCCAGAGGTTCCATGGACGGAGCGCAAGGCCCAAACAAAAGGAAGGATTAAAAAGTTAGGGACAGGCGGGGAATGGCCACACTGACATCCACCTACCACCCCTGAAAAGCCGCAGCGTCCGAGGAGGTGCCTGGGTCGGAGGAAAATTCTACACGCGCCTGTGGAGATGAGCAGAAAGGCACTTCCACACCTCCACCTCCAGGGGCACAGCCAACAAAAATAGCACTGGACCCAAAGGATATAAATAGAATAGCGGCTGCAGAAAGCTTCGACCCACTTTACACTGCCAGCAGAAATAAAGGCAGGAGGTTTGTCCTTCCTCCAGCCCCAGCCCCTGTACATCAGAATACCACTGCAGAAAAGGCATGTCTATTTATCTGAAGATTCCCATGGGAGCAGGGCAGCGAAATGCCTAACTCATATGAAACTCACAGGAGAAAACGTTGCTCTCAGCAAAAGCACTTCCCTTTCCTAACTTGAAACTTTGGGAATTGGGTGGTAGGAAGGGGAACAAACCAAGCCACTACCCTCCACCTTGTTTTCAACAACTGAGGCTTTTTTGCTCTCATATTCTTGTTCAGTAACTCTGACACAAGCACACCTGCAGGGTTCCTATTGCTGCACCTCTTCAGTCCAGGTGAAGACAAGTGGAGGTGTCTTAAGATAACAATCTCTTTCTGTTGCTATGGGAGCTGTAACATCACCAGATATATTTGTGTCAGAACTGGCACTTGGGTTCAGTTTATACCCACTTCTCAAAGTAACCTCTTATTACCCTGACAGGGAGTTAAACTGCAGCCACTCCACAAGACTGCTCTCCAGCCTTTAGCAGAAGCCAGTGTGTGAACCCGTGCCCAGTGGGTAAGGGATGAAATTGTGGTGATTTGTACTTCCCATCACTGACCTCCTCCTGCCTGGCCCAAACAATCTGATGTTGCACAGCTAATCCCAAACCAAATTTGTGAGGTGCACCTCCAAGCCCATCAGGATTAGGTGGAGTATAAAGCACAAAAGTAGACCCCAACTATGTAAAAATAACTGAACTGGGTCAGATCAAAGGTCTGTTGTGGCCTTTCTCTTATCTCCAAGAGCAGTTAATGCTTAAGAGTTAAAAACAGGGGAACGAGTGATGCTTTTTCTGTGCATTGTCCAGCAACATGCTGCAGAGGTCTGCCTTTGCCTTTAGTAAACCTCCAGGGACTTTTCCTCCATAAATTTGTTGAATTGCTTTTTTGACCCTGTTTATACTTTTGACCTCCACAGCATCATGTGCCAATGAGCCCACAGTTTTATACACACACACACAACTGGAAAAAATACTCCTTTGAACCTCCTGCCTTTATCATTTCATTCACTGCGCCCTGGTTCTTCCCTGTTTTCTGGCCATTCCAGCCCATTTCAGCTCTCTTTTGGGAAAGTGGTTCTTAATTCCTCTGTTAAATGTGTGCACAGGTCTGATGAAGGATCTTACTCCCCTGTATTTTTACACAAGTTTAGCATCTGCTTGCATTGGAACCAGGGAACAAGAATGCTTCAGAAGCTGCTCCTGCACTGAGGACAGATTTGGGAAGGGCTTGGAAAGCCCCAGACATTTATTCCAGCTGTAGCATCCCAACTGAAACATGCTGGGCCTGGACAGATTGACCTACACGAGAAATCTAATGAGCACGGCACTGCATTCATTCACATTTTCAGTAATCTTCTTTAATAATTGACTTTCATTTTATTCATTTACGTATCTTTGTTCAGTTGCATCTTTCAAAGTGTTGGCACGTCTCTGGTGGAAGGTGCAAGGCTCCGATTTTTTCATTCCTCTGCTCAGTGTGAATTCATGCCCACACAAATTCCCACTCTGGCCCGGAGGGCTCTGACTTTTAGCCACGAGGTGGGGTGAGTAGCTAAATTCCTGATCTGAGCATGTGCGCAGCCAATGCAAAGCAGACCACCATGGAATCGGGGTTTGCCAAGCTAAATCACTGGAAAAAAATTCCTTCTCGGCTTCAGCTTTCGCTGCTTGATCCGTGGAAATGCGCAACCTTAAACCCCAAGTTTCCAAAACAAAGGCACACGGGAAAGCGAATAATGCAAAAGTGGTGGGGGCTGTCCCGCACAGAGCCCTCTGCTGAGCCTTGCACCTTCATCGGCCAATGGAGAGGGACCGGGTTGAAAACCAGGCTGGGAGCGACTAAGGAGAGAAATAGTTATCTCAGCCGGCTTTCTCGGTAACTCTTGGAAAGCCCCTGAAATGACGTTTCTAACCTAACAATTAAAATGGGTTTAATTATAGAGAGGCTCAGAGCCCTGGGAACAAGCACCATCTACAGAATGAGTAAACAACTGCAGAAAATAATAGGCTGGTCTCCTGGTTACTTCTGGCCAAAGCAAGGAAAATAAAAGAAGAAACTAGAAAGAGAAGGAAATTCGAGGAACCTGATTGCTCTCCTTAAGTAAATAATAACAATATCTATATTTAAAAAAAAAGTCAGAAATCTGGAATAGCTGGAGCCTGTGGGCGTTCCTCTCGGTTATTTTGGCTGTTCTTGAAGACCGAAGGAGGGGAAAAAGATCAGCCGCCAGCTCAAAGTCTAGGTCCTGCGACTCTAAAGCAAACAGAAGAGGAAGTGGATCATTTGTTTGAAGTTTTCAGAGCGATGGCCGCTCGGGTCGGCATTGCGCTGCCCAAGGCAGGGGGCTCGCTCTTGCCCGCCAAGCCGGCCGTGGGGCGGCGGAGCAGTGCGTGGTGCCGGGCAGCGGCAGGCGCCCCCCCTCAAGCTGTTTGTGCGGGGAGGGAGAGGGCCGGGATGCCATTGCTCGGCCCTGGGTGAAACACTCGCTGAAGTTATGGTTAGGGCGAGCCTTGCTCGGCTGGGTGGGTTTGGGGGAAGCAGGTTTCACGCTGAGGCGCCCTAGCACCGAGAAACCTCCGGGCGCTTTGTTTTTTTAATGTTTTAACTTACTTTTACACAGAAACTGCCGCCATGCTCCCCACTCGTCCCCGCCGTATCGGTATACGCATGAATCATACTTCGCGTACTAAAATCTGGAACAGATTACTTGCTCGGAGATGTTATTTTGTTTCTTTTCTCTCAGTTTTACAATTCTGAGTTCTGGGGGCTGGAAGAGGACTATGCGGAGAGAAAAGGGCAGAACTCCTCAGAGACCCTTTTGAAGTGCAAACCCGTATTTTAACCATTTAAACTAACGTGGACGGGAGCTGTTTCCCCTCGCAGCGCTCTCAGCTTCCAATAAAAACCGGGGAAGAGGAGTAACACACACACACCACGGAAGGTGTCCGTGTGTATCCACACAAAGCCAGCCCCGAGCAGCTCCAGCCTCACTCCAAGCGACAGAACCCCCTCCCCCGCTCAACCGCCGTCGGGCCGTTGGTACTTGCGGGGGCTCACGGGTACCGGACAAGCGCGAGGCCGCTCCTCGACCCACTCCCCCCCCCCGGCGCGCAGGCCCCCGCCTTACACGCGCACACAACGGCCTTCTTGAGGAGGGGGGCGGGGAGCGCGGCGGCTGCGGGCCGGGTTTTCCCCCGCTTCTGCTCTTTTTTTTTCCTCCCCCCCCCCTTTTTTTTTTTTTTTTTTCCTTCCTTTCCCCTCTCCTTCCCTCCCCCCTCCTTCCTCGCGAAAGTTTCTCCGGCCCCGCCCGCCAGGGTGATTCAGTCGCGGTGTCAATCACCCTGCCCTTCTCCCCCCTCCTCCCCTTTCCTCCCGTCGCCGGCTCCTCCTCTCCGGGGGGTAAGTCCGAAACTTTATAAGTTGAGCTTTTTGCCGAGCCCGCTGGAAGCGGCGGCGGGCTGGGAGCGGCGGCGGCGGCGGCGGGGGGAGGCAGGCTGCGCGCCGGGCGCCCGAGGCTCTGCCTTACCCACGCCGCGACTCCTTGTGTCCGTGTGCCGCGGCCGCACCCGCGTCCCCCCCCCCCTCGCTCTCCGAAGATGTCCACAGCCCTGGTGTCGCCCACCATCTTCGACCTGAGCGAAGTTTTATGCAAGGTAAGCGCGCCGTCGGGAGCGGCTCCGGCGCTCTTCGCCGACTTTCAGGTTCGAGTTTGGGGTTTCCTACCCCCCCCACCCCCCCCCCCCGTTTGCTAGCCGGTACCGAGCTCGGCGTAGAGGGGGGGGCTGAGGAACTGGGTGCGGATCCCCCGTTGCTGTTGCCCGCGCTTTCCCTCCTCGGTCCCGCCGGCGGAGGGGAGGGCGGGGGGCACCGCCCCGCGCTCCTGGCGGGCTCAGTCGCGGAGCCGGGTCGTTCCCTTGCCCTTGGGGCCATCGCGCTGCAACACGCCCGGGCGGGCGGGCGCGCTCCCCGCGAGGTTCTGCCGCCCCTATTCGGCCACGCCGCAAGGGGAGCGGGGCGGCGGGGGCTGGGCGGGAGCCGCGGCCGCACTGCGGGGGGGGGGGGGCCGCTGGGAGGAGTGGTGTTGGGGCGGGCGCCAGCGCTGCGCGCTGCCCTTCCTGGTCACCGCCATCCCCTGGGAGGCTCTCCCAGAAGAGAGCTCCGGCCTCCGAGTTCTGTTGCATGCAGCCAGCGGCTCCCCCGCGTCTGGCGCTTGGGTCGCTTCCTTACTTAGCTCTGCCAGGGCTTCGCGGGGGGATGGGGCGGGGCGGCCCGTGGCTCTCGGGGGCAGCGGCGAGCGGGCTGGAGCAGATGTTGGTGAGGAGGGCTGCCCTGTTTGCCCCGCTGCCCGGGGGCCAGCCTTTCCGTGCCGCTGGAGACTCTCGGGGCTGCTTGGGGACACCGGAGGAGGCGGTGACAGTGACCGGCCCTTGCTTTCTCCCCGCAGAGCAACAAGATGTTGAATTACAGTCCCTCGAGTGTCAGCGGGTGCCTGCTGGACAGGAAGGCGGTGGGCACCCCGGCCGGCGGGGGCTTCCCTAGGAGGCACTCTGTCACCCTGCCCAACTCCAAGTTCCACCAGAACCAGCTCCTTACCAGCCTGAAAGGGGAGCCGGCTCCCATGCTGGGCCCCCGGGAAAGCCGTTTCCGGGACCGCTCCTTCTCCGAGGGCGGCGAGCGCCTGCTGCAGCAGAAGCAGCCCGGGGGACAGGTCAATTCCAGCCGCTACAAGACGGAGCTGTGCCGCCCCTTCGAGGAGAACGGCGCCTGCAAGTACGGCGACAAGTGCCAGTTCGCCCACGGCATCCACGAGCTGCGGAGCCTCACCCGCCACCCCAAGTACAAGACCGAGCTCTGCCGCACTTTCCACACCATCGGCTTCTGCCCCTACGGGCCGCGCTGCCACTTCATTCACAACGCGGAGGAGCGCCGCGCTGTGGCTGGGAGCCGGGAGCCCGCCGTCACCGACAGACCCCGCCTGCAGCACAGCTTCAGCTTCGCCGGCTTCCCCAGCACTGCTGCCAGCGGGCTGCTGGACAGCCCCACATCTATCACCCCGCCGCCCATGCTGAGCGCCGACGACCTGCTGGGCTCCCCCACCCTGCCTGACTGCGCCAGCAACCCCTTCACCTTCTCCAGCCAGGAGCTGGTCAGTCTCTTTGCCCCCAGCATGGGGGTGCAGGTGCCCAGTGGGAACTCCCCCACCACCTTCTTGTTCAGGCCCATGTCCGAGTCCCCCAACATGTTTGACTCGCCGCCCAGTCCTCAGGACTCCCTCTCTGACCAGGAGGGATATCTGAGCAGCTCCAGCAGCAGCCACAGCGGCTCAGATTCCCCTATCCTGGACACCTCAAGACGTCTTCCCATCTTCAGCAGACTCTCCATCTCTGACGACTAATCTGGGGTTTCCTCTTGCCCCCCCCCCCCCCCCCCCATTACAATGTTAAGCTGAACTCCTCCCATCCCGTCCCCTGTAGTCTGAGCTGGATGTTAACCTGTCCACCTGCCTGCTGTAGACCCACTGGCTAAAACCTTAAGTGCCAAATTACGATGAAAAGCAATAACGTTTACAAAATTAGTGCCTTTTAACACTTTCACTGTGACTATTACCTCTCCAGCTGCAGAGGGCACCAGCAGCTCTGTGCACTTCCAGATGTGCAGGAAATGTCCGGATCCAGCTCCCTCCACTGGCCATGTACTGCATAACCCTCTCCCAGTCCCTTCCTGACTGGCCAGTTTCCTCTAGGCTGCGGGCATGTGGGCAAGCGTTAACATCCAGTCTTCTTTCTCACCTCCCCTTAAAGACTAGTCTTGCCTGGATCCGCTCAGGTCTGCGGGAAGAAAAAGCTGAGAAGGGACAAAGATTGTAACAAGAGTGGGACTTTGACTGGGAGGAAGAAAACAAAACCAACAACAGCAAAAAAAGAAAACAACAGATGGACTTATGAGAGACTTGATTTTGGTGCTAAAAAGTTCCCCGTGTATTCATGTGACATCTTAAAACAAATACAGAAATAGAGGGGGTGGGGCCAACAGAAGTCATTCCACACACACACAAAAGTTCGTGTAAACAAAGTTCCAGTAGACATAGCTTTAATGGTTTTGCTCTAGAGTACTTTAGACCTATCTTAGAGCACTCACGCCAAGCTTTCTTTTTTTTTTTTTTCTGGGTTTTTAATTTTGTATAACTTCAGAAATTGGAGAGCAGATTTTGCTTGTCACTGCACAACAATATAAAAAAGCTTATTTAACTTATCAAAACGTATTTATTGCCGAAACCTATGCTTTTTTTGTTAATTTTGTTCATATTTATCGGGATGATGAATCCATAGAATATATTCTTTTATGTTTAAATTATGATCTTCCATATTAATCTTAAGATTGTGAAGTGTCTTTTTCCTTTTTTTCCCCACAGTTTAATATATTATACTACAATGACATTTTTTGTAACTTTACACTTTTTTGGTTATTTTATTTTAAAAAATGAAAAATTAATTTAAAAAAATGCAAAAACTGTGTTTGGATTATTTATTTTAGAATTTCCCCCCTTTTTTGTTTTTGTGTTGGACTGCAAATTGAGTTAATGTGCTTCTTTGCCTTTCTTCTCCTCTTCCCCTCCCCTGGGTCTTAACTACCTAGGGCTTTAGAATGTACATACCTGAGCTCTGTTGTGAGACAGTGGAAAGAAGACCTTTGTCTTCCGCTTTCTGTATAGATTCTTCAAGGAGAAAAGCCTTGGGCTCAAAGTGCCTATCTGAAGACATTCCAAATACAGTTTGTCTTTGCATTTCTGTATTCCAAGTTTGGAGTTTTCCTTGCCAAGGTGAATGGGACTGGCACAAAGAGAATGAATGTAATTCAACTCCCCCCCCCCCCCCCCCCCCCTTACTGTTCACTACATTGCTTTTTCCTCCTCTTTGTGTGAGTTTATTTAAAAGAAAATCTCTTTTGTAATGACTGTTTGCAGTTTAAATCAATAAACCCCAAGTTTTTTCAAGAAACTGACACTGGAGCTGGTTTTCCTTGCATAGATTGAGGGGTTGGTTTATAGACAGTCACTCAAATGCAGGTAGTTCCCTCCTCTTGACCTAGAAGTGCCCACCCTGTGCTCAGGCATCCCTCTGTCATTCCTCATGGATTCAATGGGTCAGCCATACACACCTGTGAATGCAGAGATCAAGGGCAGCAAATAACCAGTGTGACCTATCTCAGTGACCTCTCACCCTCTGTCTCTTAGGGAGTCCTCCCATCTTGAGTTCTTCAGTCTGTTCTCTAAACTTCTTTCTGATCAATGTATCTTAAACCTTAGATTGGCTTTTGTTGCTCTTGTGGCTTACGTTCCCTGTGCAGTGCCTTCTCCCTCATGGGAAGCCTGTATGTATTTTGAGCAAGGCTAAAGCAGGATGTTGAAGTGGCATGGATTTCCCAAGTCTCAGGCCTGGCTTGTTATTGGTACTACTCCCTTTTGGTACAGAGTGGTGTTTTGTGTGGGAGAGGAACGTGGACCCCCAGAGAAGTCTTCACCCTGGTATCGCACTGAAGCCTGCATACCCCTTTAAGTATCAGTTGGCAACCCCAGAAACTTGTGAACCCAGTGGTTTTATTCAGGGGTGCTTCTTTGTCAGCGCTGGTCATGGTGTAAATCTTGTGTTTCCACCTTTGAGCTCTCTGGAACAAGCTTGGCACTCCATCTGAAACTGTACCAGCTCTCTCCCAGATCCGGGGTGGAATACTGTTGCTGAACCACCAATCTTTCATCTGTCTTGGCATGCCTCACTGTTCAGAAGAAATGTTTCCTAATTCATGTTGGAAAAGTTTCTGACAAAAGCTGTAGGATACCTCAAGGCTTACACCAGCGTACCTTTCCTGGTGTTGGCTTTGTGTAATATCCTTGCTTGTGTGGTCTGTCAGTAAAGGTGAGCTAGGTGGAGGAAAGACGGTGGAAGAGGAGTGCGGCTGGTAGCAGCTGGTTCCCGTGAACAGTGCAGAGGCTGTGTGGAGCGTTTGCCTGGGCGATGCTGATGTAACTACCATGCAGTGCAGTCTGTGCTGATGCCTGAGAGAGGAGCCTGGGGCACAGCCCCAGTGCTGCTCAACAGGCCTCCAAAAACCTGCTGACCGCAGCCTTGCCCCTGGGTGTCAAGGTGATGGGGCCCACATGACAGATGGGCTCCTTCCTGGAAGACCTCCTGTGCCCAGGTGCAGCAAGCACTCAGGCCTGCCTCCTTGCTGACTGCTGGAAGCCACGCCATGGGCCCCTGAAGAGCAAGGTGTAACTGATCTGGAGAGGATCCCAAGTTTATCTTAAGGTGTGCACGTGGGGCTTGAAACTGCTTACCTCCTCTCTGGACTTTCTGTGCAGGTCTTCAAGCAAATAGTCTGCCCAGTTAATAATTGATGAACAAAATAGCTGTATTGGTTGCACCGTGCTATTGGTATGACAAACTACTGGGAAGCTGCGTTAAAAGTAGGTCTTCTTTCCTGGTAGTTCTGTATTTCCCTCGTCCTAGTGCACTGGCTCTGGGAAGTCAGCACTATTTTTCTCCTGTGAATTTGTTAATGATAAATGCTCTATCACTCCGTGTTTTGCTTTTTGGAACTAGCCTTGAGCTAGGTCACACGGCATAGAGAAGAGCGGAACAGGCAGAGTTAGAAGTTTAATTTCTGTAACAGTTTGTGAGGGAGAGTGAGGCAAGAGCCTCCAACAGTGTAGGGATTTCCCTGATTTGATACCATTAGCATTCATTGTGAATTGGGTATATGGCAGCAGCTAGTCTGGAGGGACTTCCCCTCCCTTGGGATTACCGTGGGTGAGTTGTCCATGCTGTTTCTTGTAGGGTTAGCATCTGTGTCCCCTAGCAGTTTGCCTTGGTTGGTAATAGCCTAGCCAAGGCTCAGAAAGGTAAGTAGCCTTTTCTGGCATGATGGTTTTGAGACATTCCTTTGATTTGTGGGCTTCTCTGTGCTCTGGCTCATTGACTCGCATAGGAGAGTGTCACAGGACTCGAGAGTGGCCAGGAAGAGCTGGCTTGTGTGCTGGCACAGTTGCTCTTCTGATGCGCCTGGGCAGAGAGAAGTACCCTCAAGAACAAGATACCTGTTGTCCCATGTGAGGTGGCATGGCAGAGTATGCCTCAGTGCACTTACAGCTCTTACTGTGGGGCAGGGGGACACCTATGGTGAATTCTTACTGTTCCTCACATACTTTTGTTAGCCATGGGTATTTGCAGTGTGGGCTTCTTGTAAGAAGACTGGGTCCATGTCTCTGTGCTGCAGGTACTAGATGTCACTTATTTTTGGCTTCTAAGTCAGATGATTAGTGCTATCCACATTCAACATGCCTGGCTGTCTCTGGAAATTACAGCCAGTGTGTATGGCTGGCTGCGCCAGTTGCCTCTTGGTAAGGAGTAACAGGATGACTTTGATTCGCAGAGCTCCAGGTGGCTCAGATCCCACTCTAGTAGCTGCCTCCCTCTTTCCTAATTCCTACAATAGCTGTGAGTGTCCCCAGGACTGTATGGCTACTCCCTTGCTAAGGGCTAAATGTGACTTTTGTACTGAAGCACCTTCAGTTCTGCAATCAGGGGCTGTAGAAACACAGGATGGCTCATTTCCTGAACTTCTCTGTAGATGAGGGCTGCAAAGTCAAACAGGGCTTCTTTGTTGTTGTTGCTGTTGTTTTTAAAGGCAGTTGGAAACTTCACTACCTAGTTTTGGCTAACCTTTGTTTAGCATCACTTGAATTTAGGCATGGTGTGCCAGATTGCAAGTAACAAAAAATGTAATTTAAAAAGAAGCCTGAAATGCTCCAAGTTCCCGACAGAATGTGCCTCATCAGCATAGCCATGAAGTTGGGAGGCAGGGTAGGAAAAAACTTCGAGAACTGGACAACAGTAGATACATGCCTGGAGGGGAGCATACAAGGGAGTTTTTGGGGAGGCGCAGGGAGGGCAGTGGTCTGCAAGGGGGATTTGGAGCTGCTATTGCAAATCATGTGGGGAGACTAGGCTCTTGCATGGCAAAGGGGAGGTGGCAGTGGGGCAGGAAATGATGGGTCACCATTAAAGATTGGGAACAAAGCAAGAGATAAAGATCAAGTTCACACAGCATGGAGGATAGCAGAGGTGAGAGAGAATCCATTCTGGTTCGAGTCTAAAGACTTCTTAATGGTGTTTGGATGCATGAAGGCTAATGAACTGGGTCTCCAGCAAGGCTCAGGAGCATCAGCGTGGAGGGGACGGTCTGGGTAATGTAGCCTGCTGGATACTATCTGATGACTATGCACAGGGATATGAATGAGTATGAAGATGCAGTAATACTTATGGGCAGCATGCCCTTTACACTTGCTAATTGCTGCAATTTGTGTGGCCTGTGTTGGGGAAAGCGAGGATGTGCCTGAGTCTGGAGAAAGAGGCTTATGGGAGAAGGTCAGTGTGTGTGAGCAAAGAGGCTCCTGGCTCCAGTGCTGGATGTGTTGCATGGGCTGGAGGCTGCAGACATGCCCAGGGGTGGCAATGACACAAAAGTGTCCTGGTACCCTGCCTGGGAGGGAGTGAAGGGCTTGTGCTTGAGGGAGACTCCTCATGCCCTAGGAAACAATAGGCAAATATGAAGATGTATGGTCTTGTACCCAGCAGTGGGGCTAGGAAGGCAGTTCTGCTGTGGGGAGCTGGTGTGGCGAGTGACCAGGTGCTCTGGTGACAGACTAAAGTGTGGGGAGTGGAGTGAAAAGAGGCAAAAAAAAAAAAAGAGAGAGTGGAGAAGGGTGTCTTCATTACCAGGGCCACACAGAAAAGGGGTCAGGAGGAGCCCATAGCAGAAGCAGTTTGAGGGGTATGAACCAGCCATAAGCAAGAAGAAAACAGTAAAACTAGTGTTGGGAAGGAGTTCAGCTGGGAGAAAGGTGTG